GGGCGGCGCGGCGGCGGCGGCGCCTGCTGCTGCCGCGCCCGCCGCCGCTGCCGCCGCCGACATGGCGCCTCAGCAGCTTGGCCGACCCCGGCGAGGCGCCGCGGCGGCGGGCCTCGGGGGCGACGGCGGCGGCGAGAGGCGCACGCGGCAGCGCCGCTAGAGCGGCGTCGGGCCGCGTGCGCGCGTGTGTCTTCTGCAGCGTTGAACGAGGCTTGTCTCGTCTCGAGTCCGTCGCGTGGTCCCCGTGTCTCCCCGCCCCCCCTCCCCCTCGAGGCGCGGCCGGGAGGAGCCTAGGGGGGAACCCGTCTGGGGCGGCTCTCCCGCGCCGCCCGCGCATGGCCCGCCGCGCTGCTGCCGCCGCGCTGCGCAGCCCTCGGGGCCTGTCCGAGGGATGTAGAACACCCGAACGGAGGGCCCACTCGTTCACGGCGCACTGCGCTCATGCGCTCATGTTCGGTCGCACTCCCCCCCCCCCCCCCTTGTCTTTTGTTTGTGGGGTCGCCCCCTATGCGAGAGAGTGTGCGAGAGATTGGCTGCAGCGGCTTGGACGCGCATGCGCTGCCTTGGAGAGCGAGCGAGCGAGAGAGAGAGAGTACTTTAGCAGTACCTTCCTCTCCACCAACCCTGTCGCCTGTGTGGTGTCACAGTGTGCGGTGTCTGCCTGTCTCATCTCGCTCCGCGCGTGGCTGGGCGCTTTTTCGTTCTTCTTTTTTGAGAGAGAGCGCGCCTTTGATGTTACGAGGCAGCAGGCAAGGCGCGACAGTGGCGCGACACACACAAGACACACTACACAGGGGCGAGGCAAGGGCCGACAGCGACAACCCCCGCGAGCCGCCGGCTCTCTCTAGACCGCGGACTCACCCTCGGCGCGCCTTCTTCGAGGCTGGAGGCGCGGGCGCGCCGCCCCGCGCCTCCAGTGCAGCTGCCAGCGCGGCCTGCGCGGCCGCCACCGACTCGGCGGCGGGCACTCCGTTGCCGTCGGCAGAGACGAGCAGCCCCGGCTGCGCGCCGCGCACCGGCCCGATTGCGGCAGCCAGCTGGCTGAGCAGGCTCTCGTCTTCGTCAGAGGCGTGATCGCGCGCCGACGAGCGGTCGCCTCCGGGCTCGTCACCCCCCGCCAGCGCCTCGCCCCACAGCGCTCCGATCGCGTCGGCGCGCGGCAGCCGCTCGACAGCCTCCAGCTCCTCGGACTCCTCCCAGCCGTCCGACTGGAGCAGCGAGCCAAGGCCGCCGAGCGCGTCCGAGGCGGCCGCGGTGACGACGCGCAGCATCATCAGCGCGTTGCGCCCCGCGCCCGCATCGACGTACGCGCGGACTGTCGCCGCCAGCGCCGTCGGCTCGAGCTCCTCGAGGCGCGCCGCCGCCGCCTCGGCGCTCAGCGGCTTGAGGACGGCGGCAAGGACGTGGTACGCGAGCGAGTCATCCGCGGCGATGGCGCGCAGCAGGAGCATGTCCTTCTGCTCGTGCGTCAGCACACCGAGCAGCGGCGTCAGGTCGAGGTTGTCGCCATCGCTCGAGCCGGGTGTGTCCGTGGCGGAAGCGGCGGCGGGCAGCGGCGAGGAGGCGCGGGACGCGAGCTTCTCGTGAATCGCAGCCACGTGCTTGGAGAGCGTCTCTTCGGAGCCGAAGATGGCAGGGCAGTGTGGGCACTCCATTATCTGCACGAAGGGTGGGCACGTCGCAGCGGGTCCCCGCCTTTTTCTCCTGGCACACAGGTTTTGAGGTTAGGTGTATTAGGTTTGTTGTTGGCAAGTCACTCACAGGTACTCACTTATCCTCCACCGACATTCGAGAGTGGAAACACCAGCTGCGACGACGCCGTCGACGGGAGGCTCCATCCAGATCGACACGCTCTCGTCCTCTCGATCCTGACGCTCCTGGTCATCTGCTTCATTCATCTCTCTCGCCGTCGGCACAACCGTCGTGCTTGAAGAAATGCGCCAGATCTACCGGAGCAAGAAGCGAGCCTTCCTCCTCGCGCCATTGTTAACACCGTGGGAACGCACCCCGGCTCGTGCGCGGCCCCCTCCCGACACCGGGAGCGGTGCTCCGGGGGCACGCCCCCCCCCCGTGCACGCCTCCTCATATGGCAGCGCACGGGAGCGTGCTCCGGGGGCACGCCCCCGTGCACGCCTCCTCATATGAAATGCACACTCCCGCCCGAGGGACGATCCGCCGAAATTCGGACAATGCTCTTTCCCACGCCCGCCACATGACGCCCACCGCCGCCGCGTCGGTCGGCGCGCGCCGACGCCGACCATCACCACCGACCGACGGCTCGCACGGCCGTGCGGTGAGCAAAAATTTGGGTCGCTGCGCGCCTGCCGGATGCTCTGCGACGTCTGGACGCTCGCCAACCATCGCCTCTCTTCGTCGCCGATCTCGCCGACGCCGCTCGCCGCTCGCCGCTCGCCGCCGCCCTGCCCTGCCCTGCCAAGCCCTCGCACAAACAAACCAACACACACACACACAACACACACACACATTCACACACACACACAACACACCCTGCCCTCACTCGAGCGCCCCGCGCCCTCCCGCCCCACGCCCTGCGCCTCACGCCTCGCGTCCCACGCACGCCCCGCGCCCCGCGCCCCCACGCCCCTCACCTTGCGCCTCACGCCTCCCTCCCACCCTCTCAGGCATTTCTCCTCCCTGCTGCTCGCCGACTCCTCCTCCCCCCGCATGACCGACGACTACCCGTCCTTCGGCGACTCCTCCCTCCTCGGCACCAACGTCTACTACCCGTTCGCGGCCCGGTGAGGGGCGGGAGCGCAGCCATTCCAACGGCTGGGAAAATTTCTGAACGGCCGTGCATGCGTCTGCATGCCGGACGGACAACTAAGAAGGTCCCTCGCTCCCGCTCCTCTCTCGGAAGACGCGCGCCGGCCTGGGGGACTCGCTTGCGATCCCGTTCCAGCCAGAGGCCGCGTGAGGCGTGTGGGACGGTGCACGCTGGGGCTCGGTCCCAAGTGTGCGCTGGCCTCGCGTCTCGAGGGGAGGGCGGCTCGTAACTGAGGTCCGCCGTCAGAGACAGTCGTCCTCGCCTCCCTCCGACGTCCTCTACGAGGGGGGGACTCCGAACGGCCGAGCATGCCCTCGCATGCCGGACAACTAGGTAGGTCATAGACCTCCCCCCCTCTCCGAGGGCAGAGGCTGCCGCCTCTCGGATACTCGGCCATTCCAACGGCCAGGCCGCTCGCTTAAGGCTGATTGGCTAGACGAGCGGTCTACCTCCATGGGGCTGTTGGCACGGGGGGAGGTGTCAATCACGCTCCCGGGACGCCGGAGAGATCGGGTTGGTCTCCCCCGCCTTCAGCCCTGACCCGACGGGGACGCCATCACCCTCGCCCAGGGATCTACAACGCTGTCTTAAGGTCCGACCTGTGGGCTCCGGCCTGCGCTCGGCACCGGGCACCGCCTCGGTATACAAAATGCGCCTGCGGGCGGACCCTCACAGATCACAGATCACACTCCCGCCCGGTTTTCATACCTCCTGTATCGGAGTTTTGCGCTATTGAAGAGGTGTGAACGTGAACAGAGTCATACCAGCACCGTGGCTCGTTACGGCACGCATGGGGGGCCTCCCGGACGTATGACCCTAGCCCAATAAGTCCCACAGAGCACATTTCGATTTTTGACAGAATTAAATGCACTGCCCCCGCACGGTACTAACTATCGTAGTTTTGTGCCGGGTGCCCTTCACCGGGCACCACACCGCCGCAAGACAGCCCGAAATTAGCCTAGCAGCGAGTGGGCATCGCCTGCCGGTCGGCTGGGCACGAGCCAAGCACTTGGGCGGCCGTCAACCGAGTCCGAGCGGCGCCTGAGGTGGGTGCCACGGCGTCTGCACGAAGGCGTGGCAGGGTGAGGATCCAGGAGTGGTGAACACCTCCCCGTCGGGCGCGCGGCGCGCCGGATGGTCCGCCGAGGCCGCAGCCGCCCCGGCGGCGGCGATGGGGGCGGCGGGGCCGACCCGGCCGGCGTTTGTCGGCTCCACCTACAGAAGAGCAGTCTCTGTGGGTCGACGATACTAACTCGGTAGTAACGCGGAGCGGTGCTGTGCGGCGCCGAGTTGTGCGCGAGGCGACCTCCTGAGGCTACCTGAGCTGGCAATGGATGCCACCAGGACGCACGGCTAGCAGGAACCAGTCTGGCATGCCCTGCTGTGGAGCAGAGCTGGCTGGCGCACCGGCGATACTAAATCAGCGCGCCGCGAGAGGCGAATCTGGGCGACTTTGGAGGCGCAGTTCTCGAGCTTGCCGTCGACGATTGATGTCGGGTAAATTGTCACTGCCGTCGGGGAAGGTCTTCTCTCAGCAGGCCGAGCGCCGTGGCCTGGCTCGGCTCGCCGCGAGTCGCGCCAACACGCCAGCGGCATTGTACGGGATGACGGTCGCCTCGCCATGTCGATCTCCGCGCACGCGGCGCGCTCGACCTCCGCGGTCGGCTGCCGCAAAAGCGGCTGGCTCACGACAGCGTTTTGCCGGTTGTCGGGTGGGAGAGTACATGTCGTCTGGAGTGTGGCGTGTACCTAGTTTTGATCGCGGCAATAAAGCGGTCGAGACGACGAATAAGCGACCACTCTCTTCCCGTGACCTCCGCGCAGCGACGGCTCTTTTCGCACACAGCACGACACGCAGCAGAGTGGCACAGACGGCAAGAATTTCTCTCTCGCCTGGCTTTGAGAGCTACGCGCGCAAAAGCACCCCCAATCCCGGCGTGGTTAGAGCGATCGCTTGATCGAGAGTGCTGATACTTATGTCTTATCCCGGTCGTAACCCGGTATTGAGTATTGAGTTTGGTTATTGGTGTATCACACAATCTGGCAGGGATGCACGACGCACGCCCAGGTACGGCTGTAGGTGGATGGCTGTGTGTGGTTGGTCACGAGAGAAAAGCAGCAAAACAGGATTGCTTTTGATGCCTTGCGGCGTTCCTCAGTGATTGCAAAGGGGGGTTTTGTGTTGCTGACAATCCTGTCAAGCCTGTGCCGCGGCTCCTTTTGTACCAGCACTGCCGCAGCACCACAACAGCGTCGAGTTTCACGCTTGTGGCTGTTTACTGTTTAGATCTTGATTTTTCCAACATCCCCGGCCGGGCCCGCCATCGCAGGATGCAGGGTGTGGTGACCACAAGGGCCGGCGAGAGGTAGGGCACGTACGTCCGTGGAGGTAGGGCAGGTCGGCCCGGCGGTGGTGGGCGCCCGCGGGTGGGGTGCGCCGTTCGTCATCACACCGATGGTGTGATGTTACACATCAGTGTGTAGGTAGGTAGGTAGTAAGGTGAAGAACAGCCAGGCTCGGACTGGACACCAACGCGGTATGGGTGGACGCTGGACAGATGATGACGACACGCACGAGCGACACACAGACACAAACAAGCTCACAAGACACACAGCCAGCTGGCTGCCACACACCCAGTGTGTGTGTGTTAGACGTGAATTCACAGCAAGACGCATGAGCAGTGAGATCTAATCTGGCTTTCCCGTCGTCTAGAGACGATGAAGGCTTGGGTGGCTGCGCTCGTGCTCACGGTGGGCCTGGAGGCCTCCGCCTTCTCCAGCCAGGCGGAGGTGGCAGTCCCCGTCGACCAGCTGTGCGCTGCCCTGGTCAAACTCGGAAACGAAGGCTGCAAAGTCGCCACCCCGGAGGGCAGCGCCATTCCGGCGTGCGTCGGCGAGTTCACACCGTACTCGGGCGACGGCATGATGAGCGTCACTGCCGCCACGGCTGCCCTTGCAGCCCTTCCGGATGGCCTCGTCGATGCGCTCGGAGCGGTCGACCTCGAGGCGAAGTGCGTGCGTGACCAAGTCCTCAGCATCACCGACGGCGAGGGGCAGGACGAAGCACCGCCATGGCACGCGTGGCGACCGTATTCAGAGCTGGGATCTCTGTATGCCGGGCTATACAGTAGCCTGCTTGCCTGGATCTCCGCCTCGCGGCTCTACATTGCTCAAACCGACCGCGATACGCTCATTGCTCAAGCCAACACCTTCGCGAACATTCTCAAGGTCTACGAGTACTCGATCAGCGACTTCCTCTTTGACGTCAGGATTAGGCTGGACTATGTATGTGCACTTCGACATGGTACATGGACATGGAGCGGTGCGCGCGCCGTGCCCCGCAGCCGCCCGTGCGCACGCACTGACCTGCGCCTGACATAAGTGCGCAGGAGGGCGGACAAGACCGTGTACACGCAGATGAAGACCATCCAGGACGCCTAGCTGTGCCGGGCCGAGCCGCGCACGCGCCGCGTCTCACCGTGCCGATCCTTGTGCCAGGCCGGGCCGAGCCGCGCCGCGCCGTGCCGCGCCGCACTGGGTGGGGGGGGAGGGGGGGTGAATGGGGTAGAGTGGCCGAGCCGAGCCGAGCCGTGCCGCGCCGTGCCGCGCCGCACGCCGCGCCCGGCCGCGCCGAGCCGCGTCTTTAACTCCTGATGGACGGTCAACCGGTCGCCAGGCCGTGCTCGTAGTCGCGGGCCGGCCCACCCGAAGCGAGCCGCCGTTTGTCTCTCGCGCGGCGCCGCCTCCCGCGGCTCGCCAGCCCTTCGCTCCGGCGGCGGCCTCGCGGCCTCCATCGATCGGCCAGCGGGCAGCGGGCCCCTGCCTGTATATAGGAGCGAGCACGCCTGCAGCGAGTGCGGCGATCAAGCCGAGCCCTCTCTTTGAGCAGCGGTGCGTCCGCTGGGTTGTAAACTTAGGTTCGCCTAGAGCCGTACAGTTGTATGTATGGGGCGCCGTAAACGAAATACGAAAGAAATACAGATACAGATAGAACCCCCACAAAGGAGAGGTTGCAGCGAGAAGCGGCGAGAGACTGCGAAAAGAGATACGAGGAGGCAGACCCCCCAGGGTGGGCGACGGCTAGCGCATCACACCCTCCTCTCCTTAAAATCCCGTGTGGTGGCGGCGTGCCGTTCTCCCATCCCTCCCTTGGGTTGTGTGTTTTCTTTCTTTCTTTCTTTTAAAGGAGAACGGAGCCCGCCGGGGGAGAACCCCGTTACGACCCCGTAAACTAGTACCCAATCCCGGATTGGTCAGAGTGCTCCTGCTCGTCGCGCTCCCACTTGCCCCCATCACGCCCTTCCTCTGCCGGGCTCAATGAGCTGTGAATGGTGAATCGCGTTCGTCCATGACCGGGTCCTGAACCTGTCAGGCTTGCGGCGGCCCATCGTCGTCGGCGCACAATCGTCTAGCCGTGGCGACCCAATAACCATGATCGACGAGAAGCCCTTCAGCGACGTTAGGCGCGCTCGCTTCGAGCGGGGCGGCAAGCGGGCGTGGCTCGGCAAGAGCGTCCGCCGTGTCGATCGCTACGAGGCGACCTCGCATGCCGACAAAACAGCGGAGGTGAAGCCCTCGAACGAGTGGAGCCAAGGATGCGTTGGAGACGGAGAACCTGAGAATCGCCGCCTCGTTTCGGCCCTCGAGTGCACGCTTGACGACATGCCGTGCACGCTCGACAAGGATGGGGCGTGGGAGTGGCTTCCGGCGCTGCTCGCGGAGCATGCCATCCAGCCCCCATCGCTCGTCAAGAGCAAGGTACGCGGCGCGTCGACACGCTCGAGCCGTCTCTCAACAGCCGTGTACACGCTCGAGGCCGTGGCGGAGCAGGTCGAGGTGCGCCGCGAAGGATGTCCGTCTCGCGCGGAGGCGCGACAGGCGGCGGCGCGGCGCTGCCAGCCTCGCGGCGGCGCAATCTACCGCATGCGCAACAAGAGGACGCCCGCACCGTTTGCCACGCCGCCGTCCGAGGCGCCCGAGGGCGTGCAGGGGGCGCTGCTCACGCCGAAGAGGGTCGGTGGGCGCGGTGGGCGGCACGCCTCGGCCGCGGTGGTGCGTGCCAACCGGGTGGAGGCAGCGTGGGACGTGGAGCGAGCAGGCGGCGTGGGCACGAAGAATGCGTTTATCGAGATCGACCTGGGTCAAAACTGCGACCTCACCGAGGTCTCGACGCAGGGCCGCCACCCTCCGACGCGCACGTTCCCGCAGATTCGCCACGAGCGGCGCGCGGCGCGGCGGGCGTTGGGCGGGGGCCGCCCCGCACGCGCTGCCTTCGGCGACGACGACGCGGTTGGGTACGCCGTCGAGGGGCGGCCTTGGTGGAGCCTGTCGCGGGACGGACCGTACGAAGGACCCTTCTGGGAGGTGCTCGCCATCGGAGAGGGCAGCCTGGCCGGCTCGCCGTGGGCTGCGTCGGGCTACGCTGTGAGCCCGCCGCCTCGCCATTACACCGATCTGCAGTGGGTGACTCGGTACGAAGTCTCGGTGCGCGAGGCGGGGGGGCGGGCGTGGCGCTCGCTCGGCGTGCACAGGGGGAACGACGACGCCACCTCGGAGGTGGTGCACTCCCTCTCGCAGTTCAAGGGCGGCGTGCGCGCGCGCTTCGTGCGCTTCCGCCCGCTCGAGGCGGTGGGCGGCGGCGCGATGCGCGTCGGGGTCTACGGCCGTGCGGCTCGCGCTGGCGACGGGCTCGGCGACGCTCCGAGCACGGCGGCGAGGATTGGCAGCGGCGGTGGTCGCGGCAACGGCGGCGGGGGAGATGCCGAGGGGGCGCAGCTCATTAACTACGAGCTCGGGCTTCCCTGCACGCGGACCGAGGGGCGCGCCTACGCCCCCAAGAGCGGCAACAAGTGCGGCTGCGCCTGCTGCCTCCGCTATCCGCCCCGGCCCTCGCGCACCAGCCGCAAGGCGGAGCTGCGGAGCGCGGTGAACGGCCCTCGCTGCGAGGAGTGTGAGTGACCGGACGACGTGGCTGTCCGTATATATTTCTGGTTTGTGAGTTCATTCTCGAGCCTGGGGACTCCCCACGATATCCCCGCGCCAAATCTAAGGGAAGCTAGCGCTAGCATCTAAAAGGCAGAGAGAGCTCTATCTATCTCGTGTCCGATCCGAGAGACGGCGCCGAGAAGTGCGCTGGCGCGAGCGGTCCCAGCGAGTGGAGGTTGCAGCCCTTCCCAAGGGCACTTAGCATTCTCGGTGAGCTCAAAAACCCGCGTCGCGCGGCGGGAGCGGTGCGCGGTGCGTAGCCTTCCAGTATCCACTCGAATTCAAGGGCGATCGCGAGAAAAAAAACGAATGCGGGGGCGGCGGGTGTGCGGCGGGTGTGCGGGATGTCTGTGTGAGCCCGAGAGCGATATGCCATGTCGCCTTGCGTTGTTTCATAACATCGAAGGCTAAGCTCAAAACGAATTGAACGGCGATCGCGACGCGAAGCGTCGCTACCAAGGTACCAAGGTTCCGGCTCCTTCGCCGTGTGAGGCCAGCTCGGCCGAGCCCCGCGGCGCATGTGCGCCGCGGAAGCTGCTCGACAGGCTGCGGGCATCGCTGCGGCAGAAAGCGCCCGCCCTCTGCTTTGCTTTCGCCCGCGTTTTACGACAACTTTCGGTTTATCATAGCCGCCGAACTTTACCTCGCTGTTTCTTTATAGGCGTCTCGCAGCTGCGTATTCTCGTATTATCTTCGAGTAGTTGCGTGGGGGCGGTATGTATTCTCGTATCAGTAGTGAGTGTCGTGTCCACTAGCTCCGAGTAGAGGGTGCGTTCTGCAGTTAAGGGGAAACCCGGTACACGGAACTATCCCTCGGAGACCCGTGTTATGGCCCTGCGAACGCGCACCCCCGGGGCTAGGGCTCTCTAGCCCGTAACCCGATCCCGATCATCCGGCCCGCTGGGTGCGCTTCTTAGCTCCCCGGCCCTGGATGTGAGGCTGATAACTGCACTCCAAGTGCTCCAAGATCCCCCTTCCTTTCGTGTTTCGAGCTCTTCTCTTGCTGCACGTCGCCGCACTTTTTATCAAGCACTGCTATCTTCCGAAGCACGAGACCACGACACGACACACGACTTACCGACATTCTGACTCACTGACAAACTATCTGCGCGAGATTCTCTTCTGGCTACAACTCGAATCAGGCTCTCAATAATGCACAAAAATGTTGAACGATACTGTATGACCGCTGGGCCCGAGGTCGGGTGGCGCCAATGCGCGGGTACCGAAGTGCGAAGACATACGTAAGCAGCAGCAACAGCAGCAGCAGTAGTGAACAAATAGACATCGAGCATTTCACTGCAGGAGCAAGGAGCGGCGGCGCGTCGGCAGCAGCGGGCTCAGCACGCCCCAGATGTGCTTGAAGTTCATCCGGCGCTCTTCCCAGGCGTGGATCTCGCCGTTGCCGCACGGATCGGCGCCGCCGATGCCCTCGAACGGCGCGTCGTGGCAGCCGCGGTTGACGACGCCGGACGCAAAATCGACGAGGCTGTGGTCGCTCGGGTCCATCCCGTTGTCCACCCAATCCCTTAGGACGTCAAGGTACCTTTCGCCGCGCACGTCGTACGGCTGCACGTCGTTCAGCCAGTAGAAGAGGCCCGAGAACCAGCGCAGCTCCGGGTACTCGGGCTGGCAGATCGCGCCCGGGTTGGCGCAAAAGTCGACGTCGGGGAAGAGGGCGTCCTTGCCGCGCTGCGCCGCCTTCTTGCCCGCAAAGTAGTTTAGCTTGCCAAAGTTGCACACGCCGGTTGTCTGGATGGCGCCACGACCCCACCAGCAGCACCCCTCCACGTCGGTCCGCGCCTCGCTGCCGACGTTCAGCTCGGGCAGGGCGGAGTTCTCGCAGCCGCCCGCGCAGCTCCGCCACGAGCCGGCACGCTGGTTGTCCTTGTCGAGGCAGCAGGTTCCGTCCAGCAGGCAGGCATCGCCCGTGCCTTGGTCGACGGAGCCAACCACGTACGACGGGTAGTCGGGCGTGCTGGCCAGCACCTCTGCCGGCACGCTCGCGGTGGACGCCGCCGGGCCAAAGTGGATACTGCCGCGCGCCATGCTCCCGAACGGCGCCGCCCACTCTTCGGCCTGGTTCCAGCTGGTCCCTTGGGTGGGGCACCATCCAGACACGTCCCACCTGGGCGCCTCGGGAACCGCCGTCCTTGGCGCGCAGAAGAGGGGCGGCGGCGCGCCGTACCACTGCGCCGACGTCTGCGCCACCACCACCATGTCGGGGTCGACGGCGCACTGGACCTCCTCGGGCGGGACTGTCTCGCCCGTATCGGGGTCGAGCACGCCGCCGGCGGGGCAGCTGTAGCTCTGGTAGCTCTGGCCGAGCTGGCCGCACGCCGCCGAGGCGGGGTAGATCTCGCCCGGCGAGCCGCCCTTGGCGCTCACCATGTCGAGGGCGCTCTGCTCGCTCCAGTTGTTCTCGTCGCAGGCGTCGTACTGGATCGTCTCCTGCATGGTCTGCGCCAGGAAGGCGGCGAGGTTGGCGAGGCCGACGGCGTAGTCGCTCGAGCCGGCGGCGCTGGCAAAGAACGTGCGCCCCGCCACGCCGCGCGTGGCCATCTTCTCGAGCGCGCCGACCATGTCGGCCCAAAAGTACTGCTCGCTGTCCTCCCAGCAAGCGCCTGTCGGCGACTCGATGTTGCAGCTCGCCGACGCCGTCGTCTTGAGTTTGCGGAACTGGTAGGGGCTCATCGAGGATAGCGCGAGTACGAGCGCTGCAGCACCGCCCTCGTCGCCCCCGTCGGGCAACGCGGCCGGCGGCGGCGGCGACAGCGAGACCGGCGGCGGCGGCGGCGAGGCATCGCCGCCATCGGGCAGCGAGGCTGGCGGCGGCAGCGGCGGCGGCAGCGTCGCGGGCGGCGGCAGAACCGACCCCTCGTTCCACGCCTCGATGGCCCGCAGCAGCAAAACGGAGGCGCTGTCCTCGGACGCCTCCCAGAACATCAGCCCAGCCAGACCCGCCGCGCTGCCATAGCGTGCCTTGATGGCGATCGACTCGGGGTCGTCGTAGGTGATGAAGGCGGGCCGGCCGTTGCGGTACCCATGGAGATACGGCACCTTTGCGGTGTCGGACCAGCTGCGCGTGAAGCCAGCGAAGCGGCTCGAGATGATCTCGTCGTACCGCAGGATGCCCAGCTGCTCCCCCCCGTTGGGCGGCTCCCAGTAGGTCCCCGGCCCGGGCGTGGCGCCGGACCCGAAGAGCTCCGTCGTGCCGTACCACGAGCGGCCGTACGATGGCATGCCCATGGCGAGCTTGGAGGCCGGCACCGCGGCGGTCCACTCGGCCACGCCCCACGAGATGTGAAAGTCGGGGTCACCGGGATAGGCGGGATCGGGGTAGAGGGGCGCGAGGTGGCCGGTGAACTCGTTCCAATCGCCATTGTAATCATACGTCATCAGGTAGATGCAGTCGAGCACGTCGGCGAGCGCCGCCTTGGGCGCGATGCCCGTCACGGCCGGGCTCATCCCCATCGCGATCGACAGCTCCTTGTGCTCCGTTGGGTGCGCCACGTCCAGCGCCCCGCGCAGCATCTGCAGCAGCAGCACGTAATTCTCCCAGTCGGCGGGGTCGACGCCGTTGCTGTCCAGGCCGCAGCAGACCGGGTACTCCCAGTCGAGGTCCAGGCCGTCGAAGCCGGTCCGGTCCAGAAGCGCGACGGCCGAGCTGACGAGGGCCTGCCGGTTGGCGTGCGTCTTGCTGCAGGACGAGAAGTGGGTCGACTTGGTCCAGCCGCCGAGCGAGAGGATGAGGCGCAGCGTGTGGCCGAGGCTGGCCTGCTCCTCGCGCAGGGCGACAAAGGCGGCGATGTTGCCCTGCACCGTGCGGCCGGCGGCGGTCTGCGAGAGCTGGTAGTCGGCCCACTCATCGATGGACGCGGCCCGGCAGTCGGACGTCACCTCGTAGAATGCGTAGTGCATGTGCGTGAGCTTGTCGACGCGCACGTCTCGAGGGTAGAAGTTGCGCCCGTACACCGCCCACTGCGCGTAGTACTGCACGACGCGGGGCGGCGAGGGCGGCGAGGGCGGCGAGGGCGGCGAGGGCGGCGGAGGAGGCGGCGAGGGCGGCGAGGGCGGCGGAGGAGGCGGCGAGGGCGGCGAGGGCGGCGGGGGTGGCGCGTTGACCGTGGGGGGCGGCGACGGACCCTCCCCGCCTCCGCCGAGGCAGCCCTGGGTGCAGTAAAGGGCGGGGCAGTTGGGAGGATTGTGGTTGCAGTTGCTGTCGCACCAAGCGTCGGTGTAGCCAGCATGGTAGCCTGTGGACAGACACTGCCCCCCTCCGCTCGCCGGCGGCGGCGGCGGCAGTGGCGACGGGGATGGCGACGGAGAAGGCGGCGGCGGCAGTGGCGACGGGGATGGCGACAGAGAAGGCGGCGGCGTCGTGACGGTTGGGGTAGGCGGAGGCGGCATCGTGGCGGCTGGGGGTGGCGGCGAGACCAGGCACTCTGGGCAGCCCGCACAATTCTGAACCCAGTTGCACTTCTCCTCCCACGGTCTGTAACAGGAGGGTGGCCGGGTGGGGGTTGGGGTGGTGCTTGCGCTCTGGCCGGGCTGGAGCTTGGGTGAGTGGGGTGCAGGCGAGGTGGGTGGGTGGGGGGAGTCGGAGCCAGGGCGGGCAGGGCGCGCACTTTGGATTGTTCGCGCACCAACGTTTGCAATTCGGCGGCAGTGGCGCCGGCGGCGGTGGTGGCAGTGGCGACGGGGATGGCGACGGGGATGGCGACGGAGAAGGCGGCGGCGGCGTGGCGGCTGGGGGCGGCGGCGGCGGCACGCTGATCGTGGGTGGCGGCGACGGGGACGGCGAGGGCGGCGGCGAGCTCACTGGCGCTGGGGCGAGGAGAGGCGGCGGTGGCGAGATGCACGACGCGTTGACTCTCACGCAGGCGGTCCCGTCGAAGAGCTCGCCGCCGGCAAAGTCGCAGAGGGAGCCGACAGGGGGGAGCGGGAGCGGCGACGGCGGGGGCACGGCGGCTGGCGGTGGTGGGCTGGCGGCCGCGGGAGGGGGAGGGCTCGCGACCGCAGCGGGAGGGTTGGCGGCTGCTGGCGGAGGCGGAACGGTGGAGTCATACGGGCCGGGTCCGGGCATGGCGCAGCCCGTCGGGCCCGAGTAGTCGGCGCTCTTGATGGCGATGTCGGCGCAGTTCCAGAACGCCTCCGGGTACGCCCCGGGCGAGTTGCCCGTCTGGTAGTACCACTGCAGCACGCAGCGCTCGCAGACGACGCCCGGGGGAAGCTTGAGCACAAGACTGTAGTCGCGAGAGCCGGCGTTGCTCACCTTCTCGACGACGTAGCGGTCGGTGTTGGCCGCCGGCGGGCTGCAAGCACCGCCGCCGTTGCAGCACGAGCCGTGCGGAAAGGGCTGCTGCGCCCAGTCAGGCGGCGAGTCGTCCGGGTGCCTGGAAACAGGGAAGCAGGGGCGGTGGAGGCGGTGGGGGCGGCGGGGCCGGCGGAGCAAAATCGAGAAGGAGGAGCGGGGCGGCCCTCACCCGCCAGAGTTTCTGCACTTGACCGAGCCCGAAACGCCGGCGTAATCGGTCGCTAATTCATACTCGTCGGTAGATGGGTCAATCTCGAGCACATGCTCGTTGAGGAGGTCCTGTGAAATGTCCTGCGTATCGCCCGCCGGCACAGCTAACCGAAACTCGAACCATCCCTTGTGGTAAGCGGTCAGACGAACGGTGACGGCCATCGTGCCTCCGCTGACAAAGGTGCCTCTGGCCTCGGTGGGGCCGTAGAGCGATCCGGCCGAGAAGTGGTTGGCGAGCGTACCACCACACAGGTCGCGGGTGCCTGGGTTGGCGTGGCTCGGGTTGCGGCCGCCGGCGGACAGGCTCTGGGCGTTGCCTATCCCAGGGCCGTAGCTGCCTCCGCTCATACCCATCCACATGGTCCATGTCTGGCCTGGAATGGGTCCATTGCGGCGCTGTCGCGGTGCCGGGCACGTCAGGAAGCCGTGAGCGGCCGCGCCGGCCGCGAGGCAGAGCGAGAGGAAGGGAGCTCGGGAACCAGGCATGTACATGCTTGCTTTTTGCAACGGCCGCTGTGTTGGTGATCTCGGTCATATCTCGGTGACACGCTCACCAATGTGCGCGCTCAGGTGAGTTTATTTTTTTGTGTGTAGCTCTGTAAGGGTCCGCCCGCAGGCGCATTTTGTATACCGAGGCGGTGCCCGGTGCCGAGCGCAGGCAGAGCCCACAGGTCGGACCTTGCTTGAGACAGCGTTGTAGATCCCTGCCTGGGCGAGGGTGGTGGTGTCCCCGTTGGGAGGGGGTTAAGAGGTGTTCGCTTTCCACCCACTGTGATTTTGTGTGAACACTGTGTCTTCCTTGCCAACAACAAACCTAACACCAACTCTCTCTTGACGCCCTCTCGAGCAGCCTCGATCCTGAGGAGAGCGCGGCCGAGCGTGGCAAGGACGAGGTGCTGCTGAACGGCGCGAGCGAGGTGGTGGTCGCCAAATCTGCCTTCAAAAAAGACGTTGAATCTTCCTCGGCAGGCGACTTGCTGCATCGAGCACCGCCTGTCGCACGGCTCGTCGCTCACAATTTTTGCCCCAACAAAACCGGGCGTCTGCTTCAGTCGCAGCTCAAGGGCGGTGCTGTTTTGCTGCGGATACGAAAAGTCGTGGCCCTCTTGCAGCTTTGGGCCTGGGTCACTGGTCTTCACGTACGCGTAGACATCGGCGCCGAGCCGTGCTGCAAAGCGCTCAATAGAGTCAATGGTGCACCAGAAAGTTCGCGCCACACCTCCAATGAGTAAGATGGCCCCGGCGTCCGTCTTTGCCGCAGCACTCATCCGCTGACGCAAATCCAGGTCTTTCAGACGTGGCGCCGGACCCGGTGCGCTGTGGCACGGACGCTCTCTCAAATACAAACTCCAGGGCGGGGGGAAGCCGTGTGTGCGGGGTAACCCGCGCACGGGGAAGCTTCACGGGTTCGAGTCGCCAAACATTAAGCAGCGGAGGTGTGCCGAGGGGGACCGGGAGGCGGTAAGCCGTCGTCGCCCGGCGCTGCATGCAGCACCGTGGCGATGGCGCTAAGAGGTTCCTCTTTTCCGCGCCCCCCCCGCAAGGCGCGGAGAGAGAGTCGTGATTTCTTGTTGGTCTTTAAAAATCTCTCTCAAGGCGCGCGATACACATAGCCTCTACTATTAAAATGTGTGTCTCGCGCCTTGCGGGGGGGGAGCGGAAATGGCCCTTTCCCTGCGAACGCGCACCCCCCAGGGCTAGGGCTCTCTAGCCCGCAACCCGATACCGATCATCTGGCCCGCTGGGTGCGCTTCTTAGCTCCCCGGCCCTGGATGTGAGGTTAATTAATGACTGCACTCCAAGCAAGTGCTCCAAGTGCTCGCAGGTGCCTGCCAAGCGGTCGTGGGCTCTCAGGTAGGCTCCTGAGAGCGGTCGCACACTGCTCGGTACCCCCCCTGCACATCTAAAGCCATGGACGACCCCCCCCCCCCCCCCCCAGCGGCAGAGCTCTGGCTGGGGGGTGCTGACCGATCTCTGTACAGACAGCTGCAAGTAAGTAGCGTTCCAGCGGCGAGAATTTATGGTAGGCACCAAAACAGTGGTCTCACGGCGTACCCTCCTACTGCCAGCCAGGCGGCGCGGTGAACACAACCGCCTCGAGCTTATTGCGCCCCCCCCGCTTTAGACGATAGACGATACGTACTTGGACTCGTGGTTGTTGGTGTCGCCCTTGCTATATCATTTACATCAACCCCCCTTACCCGTGCTCCCGAGCCCGCGACCCGAATCCCGACCCCGATCCCGACCCCAATCCCGCGACCCCGGAAAAGCGGGTGCAACCTTCCTTCACACGATCCGTTCGATCCGCGCAGGTCACTGCGTCTGCGACGCAGGAGTCCTGGCCTCCTGCGCGCACCGCGCTGCAATGGGTCCTCGTCAAGGCCGGAGACCCATCATTGCCGGACGATGAGTCAGTCGCTCAGGTCATCGCGCAATACGGTCAAAGCCTCGCCTTCCCCGCCTTCCCCGCCGACGCTCCTGTACGACAGCATTGGCTGCTATTTTTGCCGACAATCCCGAGCCCAAATCATTTTCGTTGGCCGCCCCAAGAACAAGGAAGAAGAATTTTCCCAAGGAAGAAGAAAGCCCAAAGGATGGGGGCAAGACGTTGCCCCCCCCCCCGCCCCCCCCCCCCCCTCCTGGTCGTGCGTCCGAGTCACGCAGGCGTGCAAACGGTTAGCACATGGCGTGTCAAGGTGTCACTCAAGAGCTTTATCGGGACACGTCCGGGGCGCGTCACCACAGGCGCGACGACAAGCAGCGCCACTCGGGCCGCATCGGGCAGGGCGAGTGGTGCGAGGGCGTGTTTGTGTACCAGAGCCTCAGCGGGCGCGGCTCGAGCATCTCCTTCGAAGGGTCGATCGACTTTGTGCCCGGCTCGCTCGAGGCGCCCGCCGGCGAGGAGTTCGCCGTCGCCGTGCCGCGCTTCCCCCTCCTCGTCGGCATGGCGGACGAGTACCTCTTCTGAGGGGTGCGCCTCTTCTGAGGCGCGGCGCCTCTCCGTCGGGGGTGGTCTCGGGTCATCTCGGATGATCTCGGGGCATCTCGGGCGCGCGCCGCGCCTGAAGCCGGCCGAGGTAGGAGGGTAGGGAGGGGGCACGGATGGGGGGGAGGGGGCTTTAGAGCGGGTTGTGCCGCGCGGGAGGGACGCACGCTGCCGCGCCCTTGGGGCTTAGTTTGGAGCCGTCGTCTGCGGCGACCCTAGAGGCATGGAGATTGCGGTGGGGTGCGAGAGTTGTTTCCGCGCGAATGCACAAATACCAAAAGAAAGAAAAAAGAAAGCAAAAGCGGAGCTCACGACCCCACTGAGCAGAAACCTCCCCGAAACCTCCCCGAGAAGGGGATCATATGTGTATGTCCATGAAGGGGATCATGGCGTCCCCGATCAGCAGCGCCACCCGCACGGCGAGCAGCAAGGACGCGTCGTTCGCGCGCGACGACGACGCCAAGCTCGTCCCGCCCTCGCGCTGGACGTTCATCAACACGAAGACCGAGGTGAGTCCCCGCCCCTCCCTCGCCCCGCCCCTCCTCCCTCAACACCGTCGAGAGCTTCAGCCTTGTGCCTTTTGTGGCTGCGCCGCACCTCTCCCTCCCCCTCCGGCCACCCGCCCCGAGCAACGCCGCCCACCGCCGCCCGCCGCCGCCGCCGCCGCCGCCGCCGCCGCCGCCGCCGCTCACGCCCGCCCCCGCGCGCCCCAGGCGCAGCTCGACGAGGCCAAGAAGGAGAAGAACAAGGCGCCGACCAAGGCGAAGAAGAAGGACTGCGCCGCCGGCGTCGCCAACGAGGCTCGCCCCCACATCCGCCCCGCCTGCCTTCCTGCGCTGCCATCGGCCAGGCAAGAAGGCGCCGAGCGGCAAGCCGCACGAAGAACTCGGCGATGCCGCAATGCTTAACCCGCGTGCAAAGCACGCTACAAGACACAGAGGGCTACTCAAACGACTCGTCAAGACCCTTCGCTCGGC